TAACCTGCAGCCCACTGACAAGGTCAGAGTATAACCTCTTGGACGCTCCCAACTGTCTTAATGCTAGTGTCTTGCTAGAGGGAAAAACCACCTTGGGTTGACAATAACAAGACCTCGAAACCCTCTGTTTCTTTAGTAGATGAAAATCCTTTTGTAACTTCCCTTATTTTTACCCCCCTCAACCCCAAAGTATATAATCAATTGCTCCTTACGATCTGGGGGCGGCAAGTAGCTCTGTCCCTGGGCTTTAATAAAATCACCTTTTTTCTTTTTGCACCAAAGACATCTCAAGGATCCTTTCTTGGCCTTTGGCTCCAGACTCCAACAGCATTATTAAAACAAACAAACAAACAAAAACCCATCACTGATATTGTTGTTCCCATTCCTGGAAGATCTCTTCCATTATTTTCCAACCCTTTAATTAAGAATATACTCAATTTACAAGTGCTCTTTTGTTGCATGAATTTTTTTTTAGCAAGGATTTTCTGCACTGTTGGTATTTGAGTGTGTGTGTGTGTGTGTGTGTGTGTGTGTGTGTGTATTTAAGATTTCATTTTATTTATTTGAGAAAAAGAGCAGGAGGAGAGGAAGAGGGAGAAGCAGACACCACACTGAGGAGGGAGCCTGAGGCTCAGGACCTGAGCCAAAGGCAGACACTCAATCGACTAAGCCACCCAGGCGCCCCTGTTGCGTGAATTTTTAGAATTGCATCTGTTCTTTTTGTGGATGCAAAAAAATTTTTTTATTTTTAAGTAATTTCTACACCCCACACGGAGCTGGGAACCACAACCTGGAGATGAAGAGTCACTCGCTCCTCCCACTGAGCCAGCCAGGTGCCCCTCAGTATCTTTTTTTTTTAAAGATTTTATTTTAGAGAGAGAGAGAGAGAGAGAGAGAGAGACAGCATGAGCGGGAGGTGCAGAGGGAGAGGAAGAGAGAGAGAGAGAATCTCAAGCGGACTCCACACTGAGCGCAGAGTCTGATGTGGGGCTCGATCCCAGGTCCTTGCGATCATGACCTGAGCTGAAACCAAGAGTCAGACGCTTAACCAAATGCGCCACCTGGGCGCCCCGCACCTGCAGTATCTTAGCTAAGAAAATTAACCAGATTTTTTGTTTCTTAAGGTAACAGTCCTGCATTTTGTTTCCTCCAAGATGGTTTCTTTTGGTGTCTTTTTTTTTTTTTTCCCTTCTGTTGTCCTTACGTAGGGATCTTTGGCTGACTCTTCAAGTTTAAGAATGGGGCTCTAAAAGGTGTGGGAATTCCTGTCGGTGTAGGTGGGGTTTGGTGGCTGAGGTCCTTCCGCTGAGTTGCTAACCTCCAGCTAGGTTCATTAGGAGGAAAGACCTTTTTAAGTGGTCATTGCACACTCCCTAGGGGTTTCTCCAGTTGTCTGCCCTCTGCCAGGAGAGGCAAGGCAGGCTGCCAATGCCCAGCAGCGGAGAGGGGAAAGGCGGCTGGTGAAGCCTTTACACCCAATATGGTAACTTCCCCCTTAACCCTCTTTTCTGTAAAGTAGCCAGACTCTCTACTCTGCCTGGCCTCCCAGGGTTTTGCAGGGTGATGGACAGGAAGCCAGCAGGCTACATGCAAAGGTGAGCTGGTCTGCTACCTTGTATTTCAACTGACCCTGTATTTTTAGCCCCGTTTCACTTCCCCTTCCCCAGGTTCCTGGTACTAATGCCTCACCCTTTGGGGTCAGCGGAGTTTTCAGCGCTAATCCAAATATAATCCCTCTGCTTTCCAGCCTCATGGGCTTTTGCCATTAAGAAAATCTCTTTCCCTGTCACTTTAATGGGGCCTCAGGAGCCAATGGACCTAAGCGTGTGACTTCAATGCACTATGCTTAAGTTCAAATTACTTTAAGCTAAAAAAGCATTAGTTTGAAAACCAAATGAACATACCAGTGACCAAGATTTTCTTAAATTCTGGATCACAGAGCATCTCTAACGTGCATTATCTTCTTTGAGGGGGATGACAACTCTGAAATATAAAGATTATCCTTTCTGTCTTATGGATGAGAAAAATGGGGGAAAAAAAGAGGTTCACACACTTTAAAGCAAAAGGACCACATAGGGCCAAATCTAGACAAAAAAAAATTTTTTTTTAATTAGAATTTATTAGAAATATTAAAAATCAGGAGAACCTGCATTCACACATCCAATTTCAGCAGCTCTTGAAAGACTGGGAAATGGGGCGACATGGTACCCACACACTTCCTGTGGTGACAATCACTTGGAGCTGAATCCCAGCTAATCCTTTCAGATGGGGCCTGTCTCCCCACATCCCCCTCCTTCCACAGCTACTTCATCCAGTCGGCCACTCGGTCCCTTGTTACTAGGAGACATTTGAATTTGAAAGGGAAAACAAAGAAACCACTTTATTTGAAAAGACCATATGGAAGTGAATACATATGCAAAAATAAATTTGTAACACAGGCCACTCCCCTGGGCCCCACTCAGGGTCCACCTTGTCTAGGTTAAATGGTTACCTCGAGAGTAGAAATAGGAGTAACAGGCACAAATCCATGCAGAGAAAATGCGTATTTTGTCTCCTTTCCCCCACACAAGCTGCATATGCCTTTGTAAACATGTGTCCATTTGTAAAGCATGTCCAGTACCACAGACAAATGTTCTGGGATGAAAGGAAGTCATTAAGATAGCAAGGAGGGTACTTTACCTGGCTTGGTTCCCCAAGTTTGCATTTGATGATGAATCCCCACAGTGCCTCAGGGGAGGGCAGAGGGGGGTGGTTTTCAGATGTCCAGGGGTTTGAGATTTTTTTTTTCCCCTCTTACAAACATAAAGTCTGCTTAAAAAAAAAAACAAAAAAAACCCAAAAAAACCTATAGCAAACCTGAAAGGGACATTACACTCTAATCTAATTTTAAATTTTATTCCCAGGATCCTCTAAGTAACAGCAGCTTTCAAATCCTAGCTGTAGCTAGCTGCTAACCAGCAGGGTCACTGTGAGAATTTATCTTTCAAAACCTTGGTTTCTCCATCTGTAATGGAAGATACAGGACATATCCCAGACTTTGCTGATCTCCTGAACCTGTTCTTGCCCTTGAAGATGGTCTCTAATGTCTTCCCAGTTGGGCTGGAATGTCCTGGGGTTGCCTTTTGTTTCTGCATGCCCAGAATCTGTGGGGGTGGGAGGGGAATGCCCTCACCAGCTTTAACAGGCACAAAACTAGGTTTTGAAGGTGGGATAAGCTCTTCTACTGGCTCAGATCAATCTGGGCATCACGCAGATCATTTGACTCTCACTGGTCTTCAATAAGCATTTGCTAAGCTCTCTATCCAGGCCATCCCAGCCTCCTGGAAGAGAAGCTGGCTGAGTTAAGGGCGTGGAGGTGCGTAGGTTGGAACTGGAGGAATGACACTGTAAGCCAGTTGGGACAACAAATCATTAACTGGGAGGAAGACACAGAGCCACGGATCAGGTGCTGTGACTAGGGCTGGCTCTCTGTTTGCTCACACATTTATCTCCAAGGGCTTCCTCTGCCAAGGCACTGTGTTTTTGAGCACTGGAAGCTGAAAATCTGGTATCACTTTTGACTTCTGGGTGTACTACAGTAACCCCCTAGTCAAGGCTTACAGCCGAGTGGGCAAACCACTGCCTAGGCAGGCTGTTTTGGTAAGAAAAGTTTTACTCGAACATCAGCCAAGCTCATTCATTTACATACTGTTCCTGGGTGTTTCTTCACTACGACAGCAGGGCTGAGTAGTTACGACAGAGACCTAGGACCCACAAAGCCTACGATATTTACTACCTGGCCCTTTACAGAAGGTAAGAAGTCACAATCAAGCCGCTTCTCACTTACATTTACCGTATGCAATTTAACTGTATGCACTGGTTTAAAACACATAAACGAAAAACCTAACATAAGCCAACCCCCTTGATGGGGTGCAAATGAAAAAGGGGTGATCAGTCCCCACTTAGAAAGGAAGCTGGTTGTGGTGAATCCATACACAAAAAATGAGGGAACCTGTAATTTACAGACGTTCTAAGGGATTTTTTTCAAGGGTAATTCTGAGCCTGCTTGATTTTTTTTTCCCCTAGTGCACACTCTGAACTTTGGAACTAAAGGTTCAAATGCTGGCACAGGTTCACGACTCCACAACACTTAACAGTAATGTGTTGAAAGAGCTGTTTTAACCGACAGATAAGAACAGTTTGTACTCCATGTCCTGCTTTCCTTTTGTTTGGTTTTGATTTTTTTTTTTTAAGATTTTATTTATTTATTTGACAGACCAAGATCACAAGTAGGCAGAGAGGCAGGCAGAGAGAGAGAGGAGAAAGCAGGCTCCCGCAGAGCAGAGAGCCCGATGTGGGGCTCGATCCCAGGACTCTGGGATCATGACCTGAGCCGAAGGCAGAGGCTTTAACCCACTGAGCCACCCAGGCGCCCCTGTTTTGATTTTTAAACACAGAAAGAGAGGCTGCTTCAGCATTGGGGCTTGATCAAAGCAGTGTGTTCACTTTGCCTTGATGCACCCGCTGAAATCATACTGATATTAAATCTTACTCCTTTTCAAGGGAAAGCTCATTAAATACAGAGCCACCGCCTGGCCCTGGGGAAACTACTGGAACTAATGAGTGTTTATAGTTCTTACCCTCTCATCCTCAAAACATTTTAGACAAATCTCAAGGGGCTGCTGCTGAAATCATCCTGCTGCAATTTGCAAGAAAATCAGCACAGCTTCAAGCAGAAAATGGCAAGGACAGGGGCTGGGGAACAGAGCCTACATAGGAACGTCAGAATGTCAGATGCTAAGGAACCACAGAGAACACTGTACAGAGATACTTGGGTTAAACACTGTGGATGCTGCCACTGAGATGTGAAGTTATGTATGTCTGCTTGGAGGAAAGGCTCCAATTCCAAACAGCTGTCCTCACACGTTAAAGATTTGAGGTGCACCCACTTCTACACTAGCTGGAGAAGTTAGAGGTAGTAAATGTGTGCATACAAAAAAAAAAAAAAAAAAAAAAAAATCAAACCTGCTTTATAAAGCCCACTGTAAAAAGCATGCTGAAAGATGGAATTTGGCTGTATTCCAGAAAATCAGTTGCATTTAGGAAGAAAATTAAATGAGATTAGTGAACGGTCAGTGTGTAGGCCTTTGTCAAGAGCAGAGATTAGTGAACAGTGTGTAGGCCTTTGCCAAGAGCGGAAGGGGGCCTGGGTACTGTGCAATCGCATATCTGCAGAAGGATGCCATGCGTGCTCCCAAGTGCTCTGAGAGATAGGGCTCTGCACTAAGACATAATCCACACGCCACGGAAAGCTACAGTGCAGCTCTACCTTCCCCATCACAGCTCAGGAAACAAGTTCTGTGGGCCCCATATTTCATTTCAGTTCAGCCTGAAAAAGCTGGCGAGCAAAGCCCAAAGCCCCATTTTTAACCCATGGCAGAAAAGCACATTCTTATATCTCATGAAAAAAATAATAATAATAAAAATAAAAATTGGGGGGCTTTTTCAATCCCCGCTCCCCAAGATGCTGCCCTAAGGGGCAACTGCAGTGTCTTCGCTAATAGCAAAGACATTTTCAAGAGTCAGACAACGAAATACAAAAGTTGATTTACAACACACTAAAAATACTTGCCCCTCCCCTCCAAACACCCCCTAAGCAAGGCAGTAAGTCTTTTTTTCCTCCTGTCTTAGCGCTTCTGCTTGGGACTGGCCAGCCGGGATTTTCCTGGCAAGCTACTCCTCCATCTGCGCCCAGGCCTCCTCCGCCTTCTGGTAGTACTGGTTGGCCAGCCGGCCCTTCATGGCTTCCATTGCTGCCTCGGCTGCCTGCGTGTACAAGTCGCCTGAAGAAGAGCAAAGTGGGGCACAAAGAGGTGAACCGCCTGTTGTTTTCGCCAGTTCCCCCGTCCCCGACCCCTCCCTGGGAACTGCCATCCTCAACTACTCCTCATCCCTTTACGGCTTACAGACCCTGCGTGGACACGTGATTCAGGCCTGGCCAATCAGAGCACCCTTCCGACTCCCACCAGGCCTTACAGACTTCCGCATAGCCAATCAGACACCCAGACTTAAGTGCAGCCAATCAGAATAAGCCATCTCCATGAGCTCAGTGATTGGTATGGGGGGGGGGGGGGGGGGTTCCATTTGAGCCAATGAGAATCAGGCTGGGGATTCTGACAAGACTAATTGGGAGGAATGCATGGAAGGGGAAGAAATAAAGTAGAAGAAATAAAGATTATGAACAGCCTCGTGTCAGTTCTGGAGAGGTTTTACTTCCAAGAAAATTTGTGCAACATATATAAAAACACCTGGTTTTCTGAGTTTTTCTGGATTTAGAAATTTCACATAAGGATTATAGAATTGCATTATAGATTATAGAATTGCATTATAATAATTGCATTATTATTATTTGCTTAGTTTTTTTTTTTAAACTTTCAAACTTTTAAATTTAGGCTTGTCCTATGGAATCAGGAGGTCAGTATGTTTATTATGTAACAGAAAAAGATGTATATATATATATATAACGTGCAGATCAACAGATGTGTGGATAAAGAAAACACGCTGTATCTGTATGCTGGGATATCATTTGGTAATAAAAAGGAATGACGTACAGATACATGTTATAATATGGGTGAACCCTGAAAACATTTTGCTGAGTGAAAGAAGCCAGATACAAAAGACCACGTATGGTATGATACCATTTATATGAAACATCCAGGTAAATCCATGCAGACAGGCAGTAAGTTGGTTGCTGCCAGGGATGGGGGTAGCAGGGAAACGGGGAATCACCACTAACAGGGGACAGAAATGTTCTGAAATTAGATAGTGGTGATGGCTGTACCACATGACGAATATACTGAAAGCCACTGAACCATACACTTAAAAACGGTGAATTTTATGTAATAAAAGTGTCAGTTCAATTTTTAAAACTGCAGAAATATCAAACTCCTAATATGTAACCATTAAAACAAAAGTGTTCATCTGCATACCAGCTCCATAAAGCGGTAGGAATCTCTCTCCTCTCCAGTGAAAGAAGAGACTCAGTCTTGTGTCTTGCTGTAATGCCCACTGAGGGAGGAATTACATCCCTCCCAGCCCAGCTCGATCCTCCTCACCCCCACCCCACCAGGGGCAGCACAGTCAAGCCTTACCTGATCTCTGTGGGTCCTTCTTGAGCCCGCAGCCGCCAGTGAACAGCATCTCCGCCTCCCTGGCCAGCAGCGTGTACCGAGGCTCATCCTGCATCCCGTCGTACTCACCGCCCTCATCACAGTCCGTCATCTCCAGGGCAGTATTGTACCAGTGCAGAGCCTCCGGCCAGTCCTGGCACCTTCCAGGACATGGAAAGGAAAAGTTAGAAGTTACCATGGCAACAGGCAAGAGGGAGGAGGTCCATCAGCAGGAGGGACAAATCAGGGATCCCAGCAGGGCCACCACCTATGATTCATGACCCCTAGTGCCCAATGCTACCACATCTAAGGGCTGTCATTCGCACTGCAGATTTACACATTAAGACAGCAGTCAAGTAGCTTTCCCTTGCAAGACTGGTGTATTACACAGTTTTCCAACAGATGTGTAGATTATCTTGAGGAGGGGGGTTGTTTTTCTAGTTTGTACAAAGTCACACTCTGGGCTAGCATTAGCAGTGGCTGGGACACCAGCCAATCCGCCCTATGACTCAAGTAGGAGAAGAGGTGGGTGGGGGACCTTTTGCCAAGGCCTCTGCCAGTGCTGGCCAGCTCTGGCTCTCCTCCAGCACAATCTGGGGCTCTCCCCAGAATAGCGGGCTTCTCTCTCTGGTTCTGCCCCTCTACCCTCAACTCTTTCTCCTACTATAGCACAAGAACGGCCAAGCCACCGAGGGCAGACATGTTCCACCCACATCTACACAACACGAAATACTGAGCAAACAGGGCAGCGGGCTCTTTTCTTGGAGTGTACTAACTAAGCATGTGAGTAACTATTTATAGCACATCAGGAAAGAGCAAAGAGAGATGCAGATAAGAAAGTCTGTGGGTCTCATGAAATTTTCCAGGAGCCACAGCGCCAGTGCCTTGCTGGCCTCTCCTCTGAGGCCCTACCTCACACCTCACCAGGGGCCACCCCCATCTTCACTCCCACTAACCTTCCTCAACGCCAGACTGGCTGAGCCCCCTTCTCTTCCCTGAACATGCCAGACCCCATCTGCCCCTTGGCCTTTGCACCTGCTGCTCCCTCCGCTTGGAGCGTTCATTCTCTGCCTTTCCATACCTGACTCCCCATCCCCCCAACCTCGGCTCCTATGTTACCTCTTTGGAAGCATCATCCCCAAACACCTCATTTCCTACAACCACCCTAATCTGCAATTCTCCTGTTTACTTATTCACTCGTTTAACATGGTTTCTGCTGGCTAGAACATAAGCTCTAAGAAGACTGGAACTTTGTTTTGTCCACTGCTGCATTCTCGGGGCCTGGCAAATAGCTCAGCCTCCCTCACGGAGGCCGAAGGAATAAACGTAACCACGTGGCTGGCTGGCATGGGGTTCAGGAGAGAACACGGATTCCATTTTATTTCACAGAAAGGGCAAATCATCTGTGCATTACACCGGAAAGAGGAGAAAGGACCTAATCTCTACCCACCCCCCGCCCCACCCCACTCTACCCCAAGTGGTCAGGGTGCCCCCCCTGCCTCAGGATTTCCAAGGACTTTTCCTTCCCGTGTTAAGTGGTAACTTCTGAGAAGGCTGAAACCACAGAAACGCAAATTTGGGCCTACATGGGGCCCTGCCTTACCCAGAGCTGGCCCTTAATTAACGCTCCCTGAATGGAAGAGGCTGGAACTGCTTGGAATGAGGAAGAAGAATAAGAAAATGACTATAGCAGAAGCTATAAGAGAAAATCGTGATAGATTTAACTATACGAATATTAAAAACCAGTTGCCCCAAACCCAGTAATGATGGCCAACAAGTGGAAATGTGGCCCCCCTCCCCCCACAGGGATGGCAACCAACCCTGAAAAACATTTTTTTTTTTTTTTAAAAGAGAAGCATATGCCTAAGAATTGATAGCTTTAACATTAAAAAATTCTTAACAGGGGAGCCTGGGTGGCTCATCAATTAAGCGTCTGCCTTGGGCTCAGGTCATGATCTCTGAGTCCTGGGATCGAGCCCCGCATCGGGCTCCCTGCTTAGTGGAGAGTCTATTTCTCTCTCTCCCTCTCCCTCTGCTGCTCCCCCTGCTTGTGCGCACTCTCTCTCTCTCTCTCTAATAAATAAATAAATAAAATCTAAAAAAAAATGTTAACAAATCAAAAACAAAACAAAACACTATCATCTTGAATAAAAAGTAAACAAAAAGGGTGCCTGGGTGGCTCAGTGGGTTAAGCCTCTGCCTTCAGCTCAGGTCATGATCTCAGGGTCCTGGGATCGAGCCCTGAATCGGGCTCTCTGCTCAGCAGGCAGCCTGCTTCCCCCTCTCTCTCTGCCTGCCTCTCTGCCTACTTGTGATCTCTCTCTCTGTGTCAAATAAATAAATGAAATCTTTAAAAAAAAAAAAAAGGTAAACAAAAGGCATGAGGAGAAAACACACAGAGGAAAGCCTTCCTAAGGACCTCAGAGACAAATCTGCAATGCCCACCTCCAGCCCCTCCCACCTGTGCCAGGCTCCCCCACCCCTGCACTCAGTGGGTACCATACATGTTGGCATTGGACCTGAGGTAATCACAGTATGTCTTTTTTGTTCACTTCCTCTCCATACCAGTGGAGCTCTGAGTCCACTGAGAAGCTGGCTGGTGCACAGTACACTGGAGGGAGAAAACCCAAGATTTGGCCCTGTCACTTGCTAGCTAGGTGACCACGGGCAAGTCCCTTCCCTTCTCAGACCTAGTTGAGTCACCCACACAACGGGGCTCAGAAGACCTGCTCTGAGTCCGAGAGAGGTGCTGGTTCACTCACTCAACTACTAAGCCAGGCCCCGTGATAAGCGCTGGGATTACAGAGAGGCAAGGGACACGATTCTTACTCTCAGTGAGATAAAATCACAGACATGAAGCTACGGTCCAAGTAAAAAGGGGCATTATTGTCCCACAGTAGCTATCTGGTCAGTTTTGGGGCTGTGGGATACATAGAACAGGAAGGATGCTACGAATCAAGACATTTTAGACACTGAGAGCTGCATATGATACGGCTACAGTCTTGATGCAGGGAGGGGAGATGAGACCTTGACCCAAAGAGAGGGGAGATTCCAGACTGCTCCAACCCTGTAGGAGTAGACAATGGACATGCCTGCCCTGCTCCCATCCAGAATGCCATGGGCTCCCAAGGATAGCATGGGTGGCTGTGACCCAGTGGGAGCCACAGGGCTGGGCAATGGGTCCCTTGACCAGTTCAATTCCTCCAAATAATCTCCACTGTTGGAACCTCTGGGGCTTCCCACTGGCTAAGCCAAGGAGATGAGGTGAAGCTGGGCCACCCTTTCTTCCTCCCACTGCAGAAACCAGTCCTGACCCCTGGGCCCGAGGGCACAACTGGAAAAGTGCTGGCGCCCCCAGAGTCGTAGCCTCCTGGGGACTCAGAGCCACTCTGGAAACTCACACTAGGCCTGAATCACCCACAGCCAGAGCTTCCTTCCTTTCCTCTCTCTCTCCGAAATGAAAAATAAAAATAAAAGTAGAGGGATGCCTGGGTAGCTTGATCTGTTAAGCGACTACTCTTGTTTTCAGCTCAGGTCATGATCGCAGGGCTTGTAGGGTCAAGCCCTGCACTGGGCACCATGCTCAGCAGGGAATCCGAGTCTCTTTCCCTCTCCCTCTACCACCCCCACCCCCGCCCGACTCTCTTTCTCAAAAAAATAATAAAGAGTAAATAAAAATAAAAGTATTCTTTAAAAAAATAAAAAAATAATAAATAAAAATAAAAGTAGAAAGAGGAAATTATAACCACCCTTAATCCTATCATCTAGGGACTACTATTCTGGTGCAAAAGCAAATCCTTTCTTTGCACAATGGCTAAGAGGTCCGTCATTTATCTCCTGCTATCTGCCATGCATATTGGGAATTACAGGCATCTCTCAATTAACCCTCCCACAACCACCCTGGGATACAGGTTCTTTAATTACTCCCATTTCATACCAGGAAGAGGCTGAGATCAGGAAGGAGAAATGACTTACCCCCAGCAGGAGACTGGGAATGGGGGAGCCAAGCCCAGAACCCGGGTCTGTGCTGATACTGAGGGAAGCCCCCACCTGCAGCCCAAGATCCCACCAGCACTACCTGAGCGACAGCCACAGTACCTGTCTGGGCTGAGGTTCTGGCCCGTGTCAAAAGCCCGAGCCACCAGGATCATGGACTGTCTGTCACCAGCTTCAGCCGCCTTCAGTAAGTATTCGAATCCTTTGGTTTTATTCTCTTCTGTTTCCTGTTAATACAAACCAAAGAGGGGAAGAGAGACAGAGATAAGGCAAGGAAGAATGGGAGCTTAGCCCACTCTATTTTATTTTATTTTAGAGAGAGAGAGAGAGGAAGAAGCAGGTTCCCTACTGAGTGGGGAACGTGATGTGGGACTCTATCTCATGAGATCATGACCTGAGCTGAAGGCAGACGTTTAACCGACTGAGCCACCCAGGCACCCCTGCTTGGCCCACTCTCCTCTAGAGAACCACATGTTCTCTCTCCAGTAGGGCTCCCTGCTTCCATTATATAAGAAGTTTTTATTTTTATGTATATGTATTTATTTTTTAAAGATTTTATTTATTTATTTTAGAGAGAGACAGTGAGAGAGAGCATGAGAGGGGAGAAAGTCAGAGAGAGAAGCAGCTCCCCGTGGAGCTGCGAGCCCAATGTGGGACTCGATCCGGGGACCCTGGGACCGCGACCTGAGCTGAAGGCAGTTGCTGAACCAACTGAGCCACCCAGGTGCCCTATGTATTTATTTTTTAACTTTAAAAGTTTTTAACGGCTTTATGGAGATGTAATTCGCATACTGTACAATTCATCCATTTAAACCCACAATTCAGTGGGTTTTAGTATATTCACAAAATGTGCAACTATCACCATTATCAATTTCAGAATATTTTCATCAGCCCAAGAAGAAACCAAAACAAAACACCTCCACCGTCACCTCTCAAATGCCCCATCTCACCCAGGCCTAAGTAACCACTAGCACACTTTCTGTCTCTAGAAAGTTCTCTCATTCTGGATACTTTGTATAAACGCAATCACGCATTACCTGGTCTACTGTGACTCGCTTCTTTAACTTAGCATAAAGCTTTTAATGTATCAGTGCTTTGTTCTTTTTACGGCCAAATGTTAACAGTCCACTGTATGGATATACCACATTTTATTCATCAGTTGGTGGGTGTCTGGTTTGTTTAAACCTTTTGGCTACTGTGAATAACGCAGCTATGAACATCTGTTACAAGTTTTCATGCAGATGTGTGTTTTTAATTCTTTCGGGAAGATACTTTGGAGGGGAACTGCTGGGTCACATGTAACTCTAAGCCTAGACTTTGGAGGCTCTGCCCAACTGCCTCCCAGTGTGGCTGCCCCATGTGACAGTCCCACCAACACTGCCCATTCCCACCTGCTTCCATGCTGCTCCCCCACGATGCTTTTTTTTTTGTTTTTTAAGATTTTTTTTTTTTTTAGATTTTATTTATTTGACAGACAGAGATCACAAGTAGGCAGAGAGATAGGCAGAGAGAGAAGAGGAAGCAGGCTCCCTGCTGAGCAGAGAGCCCGCAGTGGGGCTCAATTCCAGGACCCTGGGATCAAGACCTGAGCTGAAAGCAGAGGCTTTAACCCCTGAGCCACCCAGGCGCCCCTCCCCCAAGATGCTTTTAAAGGCCAAGTCAAGGTCACAGTACTGTTCAAAAGCCACTCTGTGGCTTCTCACTTCACTCAGAGACAAATCCCAAACCCTCTTTATCAGCTTACGAGGCCCTTCTCAACCTTGTGGCTTCAAGAAGACCACCCACTGTCCCCATATCCAGCCTCCTCCACCATACTTTCGCCAGCACATGGCTGACCAGCTAAAGGCTACATTTCTTTGCCTCCCCTGTAGCCAGAACCTGTGTCCTAACACGAGAGGTCTATCCAGCAGCCACTCTGTCACATTCTCTGTCCTAATTTTTTCCCCAGTGTATTAGAACAATGCTTGGCACAGGAAGTGCTCAATAAAGGCTAGTTATTTTTAATTCTTTGGAAAGATTTTGTTAACTATGGTTTGTACTACATCCTTCCCCACCTGAAAAGTTTGCTCCATGAGAGTGGGAACCTAGAACAGTGCCAAGTGTAGGAGACTCAAAAAGCAAGTATGGAATAAATGAATGCCTCAGCAAGAAAACAACAATAAAAAGGTTCCAAAGAAGGGGGCACTGGATAAAGTGGGTGATGGGCTTTCGAGAACACACAGCAGCTTCTCAGGGCTCATGCCCATCGTTTTACTTGCTAAGCCATAATCCTGCTGGGACACAGTTCACTTCCTGCCTGCCTTCCCAGTCCTAACCGCAAAGCTCTATCCAACCCCACTTCTGCTAGCGGAAGCTGCCAGCGTCCACCCACCAGAGACAGGCCGTCGGGATGCCTACCGACGGGGAAACTGCAATGGCTTCTCAATCCTTCTACAAGGTTGCCAGCGTGTGGTGTGTTTCAACAGCCTGAGGTCACGGGAGACGTCCCCCCTCACCACTCATTCTGGGCTTTGAGATCACTTTATTTGGGCCTCAGATCTTTCTCTGTGCCAGGCTTGGAGACAGACGCTGGGGATACAGGCCAAAGGCAGCTGTATCTTAGAACCAGCTCTGTGCTCTCATGACAGCCGACTGGAATTATCAGGAACTCTCTTCCTTGAAAGATTTTATTTATGTACTTATTTATTTTAGAAAGGGAGAGCTGGGGACGGGGAGCAGGAGAAGGAGGGAATCTTAAGCAGGCTCCACACCTAGTAGAGAGCCAACAGTGGGGCTCCATCCCCCAAGCCTGAGATTGTGACCTGAGCTGAAATCAACGCTTAACTGCTTACTCAGATGCATAACCAACTGAGCCACCCAGGCACAGCTTAAAGATTTTATTTCAAAGTAATCTCTACACCCAACATGGGGCTCAAACTCACAACCCCGAGATCAAGTGTCACACACTCCACTGACTGAGCCAGGCGCCCCTCCACAGATTAGAGTCTGATTGGCCTTTTTGATGAAAGGAAAGGGATGGAGAAAATATTGGTAATGCAGATAAAACTCAAAAGCATGTCACATCTGTAATCATGACATGGGGACTATTTAAAATAGTATTTAAATGATTCGTTTTATTTAAACTATTCATATTCGCACTATTAGTATTTAAAACTATGATCTGATTCAACAAAGAAGTTGCTCATGTCTGACCGTCCTGCCACTTCTGCTCCCCCTGCCTGGCGGAATCCCACTCAGCTTTTAGGTCTAACTCAGAGGTCACCTTCTTCATCTGTTCTGCAAGTGTACACGGAGTACGTACCGCGTGTCAGGCTCTGTTCTCACTGCTGGGGACACAGCTAGAAACCTGCTACCAGGAAGCCTCCACTGACCCCGCGACACCCACTCGGGGGCCCTTCTCCACTTGCTTCCCCCCAACATCGTCTTATTCTCCCTTCACACAGGGTCCTAACTGCCTAGAAACTGTCACCTTGCACCTGTTGTCCAGGGGCAGAGCCCAATCCCACCAGTTCCCGCTAACCGGCTTTGCCTGGCCCCAAACTGGTGCTCAGGAAGTTTCTGGGGCATGCACAGACCTGCAGGGTGGGGAGGAGGATGACCGAGTGCCCCGCCACCCCCCGCCCAGGGCTGGGTCCCTGCCACCCCCACCTTCAGAGAGACATCGGCGAGGATGTGGTGGGGCAGCTGGCAGCACATGAGCCCCAGACCCACAATGGCCTCCAGCTCGCCCAGGTCGGCTGCGTGCTCCAGGTGGAAGACGGCTGACTCGCGGTCCCACTCCTCATCCTTCTCGCAGAAGCGCCCGCCCTCATGGTAGCGCGCCATGGCCAGATGCACCTGCCGCACAGACTTGGGTGTTGGCCCCGCTGTCTGGGCAGCTATACCCCCTGGGCCGCCCAGCCAGCCTGCAGGAGGAAGTGATTAGCGGGGCAGAAGCATGGGCTGGGCTCTGGGTCAGTGGCAAGAGGGCTCCGAGACGGGCATCGCTGGTACCTTCCCCAGAATGGACTTCCCGATTTTCTTCTCAAGGTCCAGACCATTAAGCCTCTGCACTTCCAGGGCCACGGCGGAAGGCCTCGGCAGGTGGAGGCGGGAGGGGTTAAGGAGATTCCACTTGTCCACGCAGACCTGCAGGAGAGAACAGGGCCGGAGGTTTACAGGTCAAGGAGTGAGGGGCGGGGACACAGGGGCCATCCCCAGCCGTCGGCTGCTCCTACCGCACGAGCCTGGCTGGCAAGAGGCAGCGAGCAAACCCTTAAGGTATCAAATTTTCTTGGACAAACATAGCTCCATTTCTAATCCCTCAAATCCTGCCAATTTATGGGCACTGAGGGAATATCACAGCACAAAGGCCAGCAGACACACTGCAGCCGTTCAAAGTGTCTCCCCTTCATTTATCAAGCAGGGTTTGGTTGGAGAGGTTGGACCCTAAGCTGCCCCGCTGGCCTATGGCCCATACAACGCACCAGAAAAGTCTGACTTCAGACCCTGCCACAAATCCACTCCGCTTGCCTCTGTGCACTCACACGATGCTCTGGGTAATGGGTTTGGAAACACATCATGCTCCCAGCTGGACACTCTCTTCCGAAGGTCTGCACAGGACAGAGCCAGGCAGCTGCGTGTCCATGTGCAATGAACACCCTGCAGTGCACACGGCGCCCCCACGACAAAGAAGGGCCTACCCCAATCGTCCACAGCACCACGGTTGAACCCCCTACTCAGGTTGAACCTGAGACCTTGTCCAGGCGGTAAATACCGCGTGGTGTAAGTGATCTGTGTAGAGACACTTGCTGGCTAACCCACGGAAAGCTGCTTAAAATCTCAGTTTTCTCATATGTAAAACGGGGATGAATTAACGTCAGCCTGTCTCTCCGGGTGGTTGCAGGAAGTAAATTAACTAATGCCACGACGTCACACGGGCATAACTTTGACGTGTGAGCTGTGGTCCTTATAAACCACCCTCCAGGACGGGCTGGTCTACTCTTCTCTATTCCTCTCCACAGATGCCCCGGTGGCCCGCCCAGGTCAGGGGATCAAAAAGTATATGCCAAGGCGACTGGCTTCTTTGCAAAATCTTCCTTCAGCTGGTGTGTGAGGCGCCTGGGCAGGCAGGAGTGACAGGAGAGGGGAGAAAGAGGCTGGAAAAGGCAAGCACGCAGCCATGACAAGGACGCCTTGGGGCGCATTACCCGTCCGGAGCTGCCCAGGCTGTCTTCGTCTGACTCGTACCTCCGGTTACCGTTTGAGTGGCCCTGAGGGAGGAGGAGGGGAGAGTGAGCCACGGAGCAGCTCTCCCTCCCAAGAACCAGCCCCCACCCCACCTCCAGGGGAAACCTCGTAGGGGACAGCCCTCCCCCTCATGCCCAGGGGACCCTCCTCCCAGGAACCTTCCTCCTAAGGGACAGGACTGTCCCCTAGGGAGGGCAGCTGGAACTCATGTGCGCCAGGCAGAGAGGATGCTGGGTAACAAGCAGGACCCGTGTGCCTGTGTGCCCACAGCCTTGCCCTCACCCTCTCTGTGTGCACAGATGGAAATGACTTAACAGCACAGGATCGTGGCAGATGAGCACGAAGACAACCTCCTTCCTCTTACCCAAGTTCCCCTGACAGTCTCATTTGCAGTAAGAAAACTGAGACCAAAGGGTTCTGGGCAAGACTAGTGTGAAGGCTTAGGCTCCACTCTGGCACAAGGCAAAACCTCTACATGGAAGACACTGCCGTAGTCACCCCTCCCCAGGATGCTGCGGGGTGGCCCTGGGAACCTGTCCTCCGCTGGAGACACAGAGGAATACGGTGTGGGAAGCTGGGGAGCCTACTCAGCACCATCCCAACCCAGCAACCAGAGGTTCCAGCTCTGCCCTAAGAGCAGTCCAACATTTTCAACCCTAATTCCCCTTACTTGTCCCCTTACTAAACTTTCTGGTCCACATGACCCTGTTTTATCTTCTGCCCTGCATTTATTTGGATCTGAAATGATCTTGTGTATCCATTTATGTTCTCAAGACCACTCACGTCCCCCCACCCTTTTCCATCCTCCTGGACAATGAGGCAATAGAATGCTCTGGTCTCATTTCCTTGAGGGTTCCTTACATGTTCGCGGGGCTCTGGGTCATCCAGTTCACCCCGCTTCTCACTGGGGTAGCCACTGTCTCCACTGTTTTCAGAGTCCTACGGAGAGAAGATGATTCTAGGGTCTCAGTGGTCCTCTGAGTGGTGGTGACTTCTGGACATCCCAGACATTTGCTCTTTCTCCTTTGTCCTATCACCTCAGTTAACACTCTCTTCCTTCTGCCCTTGCTGGTTGGGTGACAAGGGAGCAGCACAAAGTAGCGGCAGAGAGCTTGGGATTGGGGCCAGACTGTCTGAGCTCAAGTCTGAGCTTTGTGACCCACCAGCTTGGCATGGGGCAGCGGTTTCCTTAGCCAGGGATTCATACGGCACATACATCGAAGGATGGGGATGAAGTGCGGGTCCACTCACTGAGTATGTGTCACAGCAAGTGCTAACAGCAGCTCACCCATTTCACAGGCAGAAAAACAAAGGCTGGAGGATGCGAGAGGACCCACGGACACAAATGTAGCACTGAGAACAATATTTACTACAGTGAAGTCCTCTACCCAAACCGGGACATGTTTTTTATTCTTCTAGATATTTCAGAATCTATAAAACTTCAGTCACTTGTCTACCGGCATCCCATTCCGGCTATATCCGCACGTCGCCTGGATCCCTCTCCCACTCATACTTTCAAGTCTCCTTCTTTGTTCTACTAAGAAGTATTTAAAACACGCCACTAAGAACAGAGAATACTAAAATGAGCTCCTGTGCACCCATCACCTGGCTTTGTCAGCTCCTAACATGAGGCCTTAGTTACTTCAGATCTTTTATTTATTTTTTATTTTTTGGTTAAGATTTATTTATTTGACAGAGAGAGACACAGTGAGAAAGGGAACACAAGAAGGGGCAGAGGGAGAGGGAGAAGCAGGCTTCCCGCTGAGCAGGGAGCCCAATGCTGGGCTTGATCCCAGGATACTAGGATCATGACCTGAGCCGAAGGCAGATGCTTAATGACTGAGCCATGAAGGTGCCTTGGATCTTTTATTTTTAAATGAAATTAAAACATTACTGCTGGGGCGCCTGGGTGGCTCAGTGGATTAAGCCTCTGCCTTCGGCTCAGGTCATGATCTCAGAGTCCTGGGATCGAGCCCTGCATTGGGCTCTTTGCTCAGCGGGGATCCTGCTCCCCCCTCTCTGCCTGCCTCTCTGCCTACTTGTGATCTCTCTCCCTCTCTCTCTCTGTTAAATAAATAAATAAATATTTAAAAAGAAAAAACATTACTGCTAAAATCTAGACCTCTTGTGAGTCCCTCCCTACCCTATCCCCTTCCTGCTCCAGGTAAAACCACTTTGGTGAATTCATACTTACTATGTGTCTATAGATAAGCCATTTTCTTTTCCTTAAATAAATACATATTTAAAAGACGTTTGGGGTCACCGGCATAAACGGGTCCCTCTCCTCAGCCTCTGCAGAGGTCTGGCCAGGAATCCCGCCACCCGGAGGAGCTGCATATCCTGACGAGGCCCTGCCCTTGTTTCTAGAAGCACGGACTTCTCCTCTACCTCCCCTCAAGGCTTTCGTTCTGTGTGAACTAAAAGGCTACTCTGGTTTCTTTTTTAAAATGTATCTCAATTTTTAAAACTGAGATATAATTTACAGCCATGTGACCGAAGTGCTGGGTGTGCTGAGTGAAAGGCTGCTTTAGAAAACGGAGTGCAGGCCGTACCCAGGGGCTCCGGGGAGCCGGCTCCTCACGACCTAGGACCCCTCCTCCCACCCTTTGGATTCAGTCCCTCCCTGAGCAACAGAGAGCTCACAGCTGGGTTCGGGGACCCCGGGCAAGGCACCCAGCCTTCCCAAACCTGTTTCCTCATCTGAGAGATGGGGGGGATACTACCCACTCCAAGACGGAGAAAAGCAACACAGGACAGCAGCAGTACAGAGGGTGGGTTTGAGGCCAGAGGCCTGGATTTGAACCGTGGTTCGTTCCATCACTGAGTGACTGGGACCAAGTAGCTGAACCTTCCTGCGCCTCAGGGTCCTCATCTCTAAATCAGGGATCACGACAGAATTGCCCAGGTAGCTGCTGAGATCAGGGACAAGAAGCGGGGGGCGGGGCGCCTGGGTGGCTCAGTGGGTTAAAGCCTCTGCCTTCGGCTCAGGTTGTGATCCCAGGGTCCTAGGATTGAGCTCCACATTGGGCTCCCTGCTGAGCAGGGAGAGCCTTTAAAAAAAAAAAAAGCGGGTGCCTAAGGGACAGATGGGAGACAGGCTTTTCACCTTACTAATCTTTTTGTACCTTTTCAACCATGAGAATGAATGAGTTATTCTGAAATTCTAAAATTTATTCTAATTCTAGAATGAAATCTACTACAAAAGAAACAAAAAGGGGTGACTGGGTGCTCAGTTGGTTAAGCGTCTGCCTCTGGCTCAGGTCATGATCCCAGAGTCCAAAAAAAAAAAAAAAAAGGGGAAATAAAAAATGGTTCTACCTCTACTTCATGGGTTGCTGGGGCTTAAAGGAGATTATCTATCAAGCTCTTAGAACAGTGTCTGCCCTTGGGGCACCTGGGTGGCTCAGTGGGTTAAAGCCTCTGCCTTTGGCTCAGGTCATGATCCCAGGGTCCTGGGATCGAGACCCACACATCAGGCTCTCTGCTCAGCGGGGAGCCTGCTTCTTCCTCTCTCTGCCTGCCTGCCTCTCTACCTACTTGTGATCTCTGCCTGTCAAATAAATAAATAAAATCTTTAAAAAAAAAAAAAAAGAACAGTGTCTGCCCATAGTGATGATTCCATAATGTTGGCTACTCTTACTTTTTTCTTCCCTCAAAAACTCTGAAAAGCAGTCAAGAGTGAACCTGAACCTTTGGAGCAATCCCAGAGCGGAGCTTAAAGAGCACCTGAGGTCTGTGCAAGGGTGACATCTCTGCAAAGTCTCTTTTTAAAATTCCTATGAGTTTCTGACATCATAATATAGGTTTGCATGAATGCAAATGGGATGCCTTCAGCTTCCTACCTCGGATGAGCCCAAGGCTGCTGGAAACCTGTCCTGTTTATCCAGCCTGAGAGCATCACATCAGACTGTGCTGTAAGTTACTCGTCTGAAATGCAGGACTGTTTCCTCTCCCAGGACAGCTGTCCACTCGCACGTGGCCAGACCAGCCCAGGGCTGAGCTCGCTCGCCATTTACCAGAAGGTTGCACTGTTGCTAACTGGAATTCCCTTTTCTCTAACCATCTCCGAAAACTGTGGTGGAGCCAGCTTTTCTCAGAGGACACGGCCGCCCTGGCCAGGAGGCTGAGAGTAATCTGCATTCCTCTATGCCCACAGGCAGTGCCTGGGGCCAACCTAGGCTGACCGCCTCTGGATCTGAGGATTCAGCCTTGGTCCTGACTGGCAGGAAGTCCACTCCTCCCAGCCCTGCTCCCTTGGGCCTTCTCCAACCTACCCGGTGGTTGTCCAGATGGTCGTGGTCTCGGGGTGCCATGTTGTCAAGGTCATTGAACACAGGCCAATCTGGGCAAGAGAAAACAGATCATACAAGGGCCCTACCAGCAAAACTGCTTAAAAGACCAACTACAGCCTAGAACAGAAAGCACCTGCCACTAGGCCTTTTTTCATTTTAAAATTTTGTAAAAAGGTACAAAAATGGGAAAAGAATGTTGTCAGCACCTGGAGGCTACAGTTCTTCTTCAAGAACTTATTCAGAGTTGGGGTGCCTGGATGGCTCAGTCCGTTAAGCGAGTGATTTGGGTTTCAAATCAGGTCGTGATCTCAGGGTCATGAGATCATGCCCCTCATCGGGCTCCACGTTTAGCACAGTCTACTTGGGACTCTCCCTCTGTCCCTCCCCCCTGCTCTCTCAAAGAAAGAAGGAACTTACTCAGAGTCTGCCACTTGCTAGCTGTGGGTTCCTGAGCAGGTAGCTTAACCTCTGTGCCTCCTCAAAGTTGTAGTGCAAATACAGTTGTGCAATGTGCTTAGAGCACATTAACCTGGGCCATGGCGGGCCTTTGAGGAGCAGGTGCGGAAGTACAACAGCCATGTGTGTATTGGGGGCCCCAGGAGTAGCTACAGGTCGGGGAAGCCTCATAAGGCTGAAAAACCAACCACATCCTTCCCAGTCATTCCCAGATTCTCTCTCCCTCCTTGAGCTTCCACAGCCATATCCAGCTTGCTTCCTTTTTTAAGTGTGGTTTTTAAGAATGGCTTTTCTATTTTAAAGTGGCTGAAAAGATTTAAAAGAATAGTACCTTGAGATATGTGGAAATTACACGAAAGAAAATTCAGTGTCTTCACTGGAACAAGGCCATACCTAGTCATTTGAGTACCATGGCCACGTTCACACTCCTAATGCAAAAACCATTATGTCCCACAAAGTCCAGAAGATTGACTCTCTGGCCTTCTAAGAAGTCTGTCAACTCCTGACTCAAAATGGGGCACCTGGATGGCTCAGTGGGTTAAGCCAATGCCTTCAGCTCAGGTCATGATCTCAGGGTCCTGGGATCGAGCCCCGCATCAGGCTCTCTGCTCAGCAGGGAGCCTGCTGCTTCCCTCTCTTTCTGCCTGCCTCTCTGCCTGCTTGTGATCTCTGTCAAATAAATAAATAAAATCTCAACACACACACACACACACACACACACACACACACAACTCCTGTCTCAAGCTATACCTAAGGTCTTCTAGTGGAAATGTCTAAAAGGCTTCTTTGACATTTGACACTAAAATCTCCCTCTTCTGCTCCTCTGTGACCTCCCCCAGCTGCATAAATGGCCACAGCACCCTTGATGTTCTTCAGATCAAAACCCTGGAGTCAGCCTTGCCTCCCCTCTTTCCTGCAGACCCTAGATCCACATTGTCAGCAACCAGTGTCACTTCAACTTTGGGAACGAGGATTCCATTTTCCTCCTCTGACCTATTCATATGATGTTCACAGATTTCTTAGTATTGGAAATTTGCAGATGCCTGCAAAATCCCTATTGATTATGACAGTATTCTTTTAGGATACTACTAGTCTTTGTCATACCTTATTTAGAACTTCTGTACTGTGTATTTATTTATAAGTGAGGTTGGTATGTAGGTTTTTGGTTTTTTTTTTTTTGCTGTTTTGTTAAATTTTGGTATAAAGGTTTTGCTAGTTTCATAAAAGACACTGAAAAATGTTACCTTGTTTTCTAAAATCAGGGTTGTTTCTATACCATCTGGATGATTTGTGTCTTGAAAATGTATTCAGTGAACTCACTCATAAAACCATGTAGGCCAGGACCCTTTTTGGTTAGCATATCTGATTTCCCAACATAAGCGAAAGCCAGTTTAGCAGTGTCCTTTCTGGTGCCTGTCCCTTCCAAGCACGATGACCAGGGATCAAACTATCACTTACGGAGGTGGTCCAGTTTCTGGCTGTGTGGTGTGGCCGAAGACGGGGAAGAAGGGAGAGAGTCAAAGGTCATGTCGCTCATGTTCTCATCTCCAGAGTTCTCTGAAAGGCGAAGGAGCAGTGGGGGGCGACTCCCAGAGAGGGTCCTTACTCGGGGGCTCCCACACTTTTCCTCTGTCCCCCTCAAGATGGTCTTGGCCGATTGCTAGAGAATTAACAGGGACACCCATGTCACACAGGAGCCCTTTGGCGAGTGAAGAGCTCTTCCAGTTGCGTGTTGTCTGCTTGAACCCTAAGGCCCTTTTAGTCAATAGCTCCCATACATACCTGTTTAGGGACTGGCAGGAAATCTAAAACAATCAATGGGGGGTTAAACCAAAGGGCTCTAAAAAGGGGCATCTGGTACAGGAGTGCAAAGCCAGCCAGCATTCCCACGGTGCTGACCATACTCCACAGCCCTGAGCTGGGGAACACGTGCCACCATATATCCAGAATCCCAAGCTGGTCTTTGCTGACAGTCGCTCATATCTGATCAAGGTAATGGCAGAGGGGTGGGTACATCCTGGACCCAGCAAGGTGCCCGAAGATCCAGGTCCAAGTCTAGTCCAGCCATCTGTCAACATGCCACACAAATACACATACCACACACCTTTCTCACTCTTTCTACACAATTGTTCTCCTCACTCTGGTCAGAAGAGGTCCAATCATGTAGACCCCAGTTCCTGTGTTAGTGGGGACACTTGGAAGGGCTTTGTGCACTGATCTAGGAGGATGAGGGGCACAGATAAGGCTGAGATCCTTCTGGCCCTGAAACTCTTCAAGTAAGCACCACAGGGCCTGGGCTGCAACACGGAGAAGCAGGGCTTACTGGCCTGGCAGTGGGAGGGCCCGGTCCCTCCGAGCAGGTTCCCATGGGGCACCCACCAGCAGCTTGGTGTTCTGGTTCACGGCGTCCCTCTCTCTTGGCGAGAGGTCAAAGGGAGTGAGGCCCATGCTCTTGCAAATCCGGTTGCAGGCATGAGAGTAGAAGAAGAGCGCCATCCCCCGGACACCTACAGACAGAGCAGGGAAGTCTGGAGCACTGCCTTGCTGTGTGACAGGGGAAGGGCAGCACCGGGCACCTTAAATGTGACAAGGGCAGGCGTCGAACACGCTGAAGTGGCGGGTGGGAGGCATCCCAAGCTTCCATCCCCAATATCGTGGAAAAGCCAAGGCCCAGTCTCCCTGGGCCTATGAAGAGCTGGGAGATTTGTAGGGGGCAGAGGGAGTGTGATCTCCATGGAAACAAGCTGGCTTTCCCCACCTACCTAGGTTGCCATCTCCAAAGTCAGTGCCCTTCTCGGTGTGGATCTGCGGGTCTGTGTAGAGGTCGCCCACACCCTGGATGTCTACCACAATCAGCTGATGCCCAGAACGCTCAAACGTGAAGTGGCTGAAGGCCTGGGAGGGGGGGCGGCGGGGGGGAACAGAAGAGCAAGGTGACTGACTGCAACAGACCAGGATGTGGTCTGCATGGACACAGGTCAGCCACCGCTCCATGAGGCTTGAGGACCCTCTGGGGCTGAGACCGCACACCCACAGGGACCCTCCCCTCCAGGGGCCTCACCTGTGGTGTCAGGCGCATGTTGTCATCACGGACGAAGCCCGAGTTGGAGTTGTACTTGATGTACTTGCCCTCGATATAGTGCTCCAGGTGGAAGAGAGGCTTGCCGGGTCTGTCCCTCAGCTCCACCACGCACATCTGCATGATGTCCACCTGGTGGGAGGGGAGCAGGTCAGGCAGGACCCAGCGGCACTCACCTCTGACAACAGATTGGAGCAGAGGGCTCGGTGGAAGCTTCCATCCTGGCTCCCTCAGTTATCAGCTCTTCGCAGCTACGGCTGGCCATCCCCAGAATCCACGTTCCCCTTTCCTTTTGAGAATAAAAACCCCTGTGATGGTCTAAATGCGTCTCCGCAGAATCCCTATGTTGTTGACCTCCAAGCCCTCAAAAGTGACGGTATTAGGTGGGGTCTTTGGGAGGAACTAGGTCCTGAGGGAGGAGCCCTCATGAATGGGTTTGGGGCCCGGATAAGGGACCACGCAGAGCTCCTTCGCCACTTCCGCCACGTGAGGGCACAGCACGGAGACACCAGCGAGGAACCAGAAAGGGACCTCACCAGAACGTGACCATGCCGGCGCCTTGATTTTGGACTTCTCAGCCTCCTAAGCATAATTTTCTGTTGTTTGTAAGCTGCCCCGTCCGTGATATTTTGTTAGAGCAGCCCCGAGGGGCCCAGACAACCCACATGGAAGTGCTAAGAGGATACGGAGCAATCCAGTAGCAAGGACGCTGCGCGGCTTCCCTGGTGGCTAGGTGCGGCCACGTGACCAAGCCTGGCCAATGGGAAGCGAGCAGCAGCGAGGACGGAACTCCAACAGCCCCCACCTCCCGCCACCCCAAGGCTGTAGAGCGCACACCTGCCAGTGGGGCCAACCTAGCCACGTGGTCCATGGCCACACCCCAGAGGAAGGCAGGGCAGGAAGACAGAAGGAACTGGGTGCTTCTGGATGACTCAAGACGGCTGGCACCAGCCCACCCTGAACCCCACCCAACCCCCGACCAAAGCAGAACCATCAGATGAGAAAGAAACCATGTTGTGTTGGCACACATTTATGGGTCTGTGTGCGAAGTTCTGCCCACATGCCTTACACTAATATCGTGCATGTGGACGAACTGTGCCTCAGTTTCCTCGCCTGTAGGATGAGGATCTCACACTTAGGGTGAGGATGAAACCTGATGATACATTGAGTCTGTCAACATGTGCTAATGTGAGTATTACTCGTGGACACGACTCTAGAGCTGTATACACCCAACCATAAAGGGTGGTTCTCTCCCTGCTACGGGGAGTTTAGACATTCCTTGCTGAATTTTTTTTACCAAACACTTGGCATCTGTATGCAGAAGGAAATGTGTTAAGTCCTGTGAGTGGTCTGTAAAGTGGGGTTGGTAAGACCTGACACCGTACCCACGGCACCCTAGCCCCCTCAACGACACCCACAGTGGAAGGACCCAGGTCTGGGTTTCCCAAGGAAGCAACCATCCAAGGAACTGTCTGGCTGGGTCACTAGACAGGCAGATGACAGCTGCAGAGGTCGAAGAGGCCCCAAGCAGAGAACTGCCCCAAACGTGGCCTCAGTTCCAAGAACCAGCCTAAGGGGAAGGAGCAGCTGGTTCTCGGAGGTCCCCACCCCAAATACTGACTCTATTCTTACAAGGAAGTCTATGGTGGGGCCACATACTGGCCAGGAGGCAGTTAACAAGGGGTGGCCGGCTCCCCCCTCAAACAGCTCTGCTCCTTTCCCTTCCTCAATTCCAACCAACCACATTATTTACTGAGCACCTAGGCACTGTGAGACAGAGTGAACAAGGCATGAATTCCCTGCCCCTGGGGGAGAGATGCAATATTAACTGCAGGGACAAGACTCTTCCGGAGAGTGCCAACTGCTCCAAGCAAAAGGAACTAGAACAGACAGAACGACCTGACAGGACAGTAGTGGAAAGGCTACTTCATTTAGGATGGCCTGGGGCGGCCTTGCTGAGCAGGTGACATATGAGCTGAGACCTGAACTGTGAGAAGGAACTCATCATGCAAGGATGGGGCTGGGGTTGGGGAGGGCAAGAAACGACGACAGTGATGGCACAGCCAGAGCAAAGGTCCTGAGGCAGGAACAAGCTTAGGGAGGAAGAGAAAGGAGGCCAGGATGGCATGTCGCAAATTACTGAGGTGGTCACAGACCCCATGGGTGGGGACTGTGGCTTCTTGGGTCTACTCCAAGGGCACTTAATCAAGGGCCATGCAAACAGGAGGCGCTCAATGAATTCTGGTGACTTCTTGTAAGTGTGGCTCCCCCAAGGGGCACAGGAGACAGTAGTGTGTTATCTCGTAGGTGCTCAAACAGTGGGAAAGCTGAGCTATGAATCTGGGCAGGGCAGAGACACAAAGTGCTGTTTCTCAAATGCCCACAGTCAACAGGAAACTCTGCTTTGCCCAGGTTTACTAAACAACCTGGGGGCTCACCTGTAGAAGCCAACTGGGCAGGGGCCTGGAATACCTGGCTTTGAGCGCTGGCTCCTTCCTGCCTGTTGGGGCAGGTCACTTAACCCCTTTGGGCCTGAGGCTCCCCAGGGGCAGACACACTATCCCTTCTCCCCTCCTTCTGCTTTTTCTTGGGAGCCACCCATCTCAGTCTGCATAGTCTGGGGAAGGGACCCACATTGCTGCCTCTAAGGGGGAGCATATGGCTCAGGCCTGCCCAATCTGCATATCCGCTCCCCTGGCTATTGTGACTGGCTCAGCAACAGGCACCTGACCTAATCGGAGCCAATGAAACCCAGTTCTGAGACTTCCACTGGAACTTCTTGGAAAACAGGTATTGTCCTGCCACCAAGGTTTCTGAGAAGACAGGAAGTGAGCCTGCAGCTGCTCATGGCCCACAGAAGAACACCAAAGCTAGAGATGGGGGCCGGGGGTGGAGGGGAGATTCTCAACATCCTGTCTGGTCCTGGATCCAGCCTTACCTGTAGCCAGCACTATCTGTGTTACATGAGGTAATAAATTCTCTTTTAGCATGAAGCCCATTTGAGCAGGTTGCTAACATTTACAAATGAAAGTCCTAACAGATCCCATCCGTAAATGGGATCAAAACATCCTAACTTCAAACAACCTCAGAGTTCTCTGTTTTTAGGAATAAATGACTACATATAGTGAATCGTGCTCAACAGATGATGTCTGTTACTGGCTTCTGTTAAGACCATGAAGGGAACCATGACTGGCACCATTGTTAACTTTGTCTCCAGTCTCCATCCCTGGCCACCTTGTGTGGGAAGGTAGCAGGGAGGGGTGCCACACACCTGTTTGGGGGGCTTGTGCCGATTATACTCCTCTCCCCAGAGCTTGGCCTCCATCTGTAGACGCACATCCTCAAAGTACACGTCCCTGTCCACAGACTCGATGTAGCGCTTTGCCACATAGTTGGAGGCCCCCTTCCACTGCTGAGTGTGCAGGAAGTTGGAGAGCTTCTTCCTGGGAGGGGGGAGACAGCAGAGGGTCTGCCTGGGCACTTGGGTCCACCAGGAACGCAGCCTGACCCACTGCATCCTTCAAAGGGCTGGGAAGAGGCTTAAGGGACATTGTTAAAGGTCTCTTAACCCACATCTTGTGGCCTCCAAACATCAGACTGGAGGATAGTGGGACACTCCATATTCTCCCTGAGCTCCCTCCACAGGGGGCTCCCTTCACAGCAGGGCAAATGTGTGGTCCGACGGACACCAGATAGAGAGACACTCAGCCTACAAGGAGAGGCTGCTGTCTCGGTTTCTCGGCCAGAAATGTTGCAAGGCCTCCACTCTTAGGAGCCTGAAGGAATCCGGGCAGGTCCCCTGAGAGCCAGGCCGAGTCACTTACGTTCTGAAGCACTCCCGCATCGCTCCACGGCCGAAGGGCTGAAAGACACCACACAAGTGTTATTAGGCCCCATGTCCCACCAGAACGAGTCCTGAGTCAGGAAGAGATTCTCCCCTCGGACATCACCCCCCTAAATGGGTACCTGGACTTCATCTCAATCCTAAAATTCCCGACTCCTACCTCCATTACCCTGGCGCTAAAGCCTGACCAAACTTCTAGCCTGGAGGCTTCGGGAGATGACAAGACCACCTGCTCCCCAACCCTGGCTGAGAGGGAGGGGAAGAACATCACGGGGTGAAGATGTTATGGGGGTAACCTTTCATGTCAAAGAATGTTTTTGTAGCCCTGCTTTTCTGTTCCCTAGAACAGAAAAAGGGTGGAGGGGAGCCTGGGTGGCTCAGTCAGCTAAGCGTCCAACTCTTTTTTTTTTTTTAAAGATTTTATTTATTTATTTGTCAGAGAGAGAGAGGGAGAGAGAGCGAGCACAGGCAGACAGAATGGCAGGCAGAGGCAGAGGGAGAAGCAGGCTCCCTGATGAGCAAGGAGCCCGATGTGGGACTCGATCCCAGGACGCTGGGATCATGACCCGAGCCGAAGGCAGCTGCTCAACCAACTGAGCCACCCAGGCGTCCCCTAAGCGTCCAACTCTTGATTTCAGCTCAGATCATGGTCTCAGGTTTGTGGGATCGAGCCTCATGTCTGGCTCTGCACTCAGTGGAGTCTGCTTGTCCCTCTCCCACTGTCCCTCCCCTACCCTCTCTCTCCAATAAATAAAATCTTAATAAAAAGAAAAGAAAAGGAGTGGAAACAGCATAAATGTCCATCAAGAGTATAATGGATAAATAATCAGGTCTACTCATTCGGAATACCATAGAGCAACCAGAGTGAGTATACCCTGTTGTTCTGTTCTATTATTCTGTATTGTTCTATAAATGATGGGTCTAGCAAAAACAAGTATGAACTTATCACAGACAAAATGCTGAGCAGAAGAAGCCATACTCAAAAGCATACATACAGGGCACTTGTGTGGCTTAGTGGGTTAAAACCTCTGCCTTTGGCTCAGGTCATGATCTCAGGGTCCTGGGATCGAGCCCCGCATCAGGCTCTCTGCTCAGCAGGGAGCCTGCTTCCCACCCCCTCTGGCTGCCTCTCTGCCTACTTGCAGATCTGCCTACAGATCTCTGTCAAATAAAAAAATAAAATCTTAAAAAAAAAAAAAAAAGAATACATACGGCACAACTCCATTTATAGGAAGAACACAACGGGCAAACTACACCAGGATGACAGATCCCGGGTTGGTGCTTACCTTTGGGAGAAGGGAGTAGTGACCAGGGTGGGGGTGGGAGGGGGGCTTCAGGCGGCCACTGGTTACACGGACCAACCACTTTGTGAAACTCATTAAGCCATACCCCTTTCTGAGTATGTGATACATGGAAAAAAAGTTTCACACAACCAACCTCCCTCTGACAATGCAGGAAGTGCTCCATTTTCAAGTCTATTCCTTTTTTTTTCCTCCCAAACGATGAATCCCTTTTATAAGGCTCAGGTTGGGGCGCCTCAGTGGCTCAGTCAGTTAAGCATCTGCCTTCGGCTCAGGTCATGATCCCAGGGTCCTGGGATCAAGCCCCGCATCGGGCTCTCTGCTCAGTAGGGAGCCTGCTTCTCTTCCTCTCTCTCTCTCTGCCTGCCTCTCTGCCTACTTGTGATCTCTCTGTTTCAAATAAATAAATAAAATCTTAAAAAAAATAAAAAGTCCAGTATAGGTAAGCCTACAGAGACAGGGGTAGATTAGCAGTTGTCTAGGGCTGGGGAAGACGAGGGGATTGGAGGCTGGCTGCCGGCGGGTAAGTATAGGGTTTTTTTTTTTTTTTTAAAGATTTTATTTATTTATTGGACAGAGAGATCACAAGTAGGCAGAGAGGCAGGCAGAGAGAGAGGACGAAGCAGGCTCCCCACTGAGCAGAGAGCCCGATGTGGGGCTCGATCCCAGGACCCTGAGATCATGACCCGAGCTGAAGGCAGAGGCTTAACCCACTGAGCCACCCAGACGCCCCAAGTATAGGGTTTCTTACGGAGATGATGAAACGTCCTGGAATTGGTTGTGGTGATGGAGGCACATCTCTGTGACTATGCCAAACCCACCGAACCCGTATACTCTAAATGGCTATGCTGTATAGTGTGTGAATTATATCTCAATAAAACAGTTATAAAAATAAAATAAATACACAGTAATAGAAAGAATGCCCCAAAGTTAGTCACGTGAGTGTGAAAGGGAGGGAATAGGGACAGAAGTCTGCTCAAGAGGAATCCGCACTCAGCCCTGCCCACGCGGGGCTGGGGAAGGCTCACCTGAGACGCCATCTTGATCAGAACCTCATCTTGTAGCCACTCCCCGGTGACAGCATTGTACCTGCAGAGAGAAGCCAGCCCAGGGTACAGCGTCTATACCATGGTCCTCTCACCCACTGGCTAAAAGTGAAAGACTTGGGGTACCTGGGTGACTCAGTGGGTTAAGCCACTGCCTTCGGCTCTGGTCATGATCTCAGGGTCCTGGGATCGAGCCCTACATCGGGCTCTCTGCTCAGCGGGGAGCCTGCTTCCCCCCCACCGCCCCACCTGCCTCTCTGCCTACTTGTGATCTCTCTGTCAAATAAATAAATAAATAAAATCTAAAAAAAAAATAAAATGAAATAAAAGTGAAAGACTTTTCTGGCTTCTCGCTGCCCTTGGGATTGAGACCACTCTATCCGTAGACCCAGCCAACCTCCCGGGGTGGGTCTGTGGACACTCTCCCTCCCCTCCCAGGCCCCCTGCACTGGCCTTTCCTCTCCAATGTGTTGCCCAACACTTGTGTGTGGGTTTGCTCCCCTATCTGGCCCCCCGCCTTGGACTCTAACTCCACAAAGCCAGGCCCGTGTCTGTCTTCTTCACTGCAGGGCCTGGTGCCTGTGGAAGGTTAATACATCCAAGTTGGATGAACAACTGAATAGATAAATATCCTTATTTTAACCAGTCTACACAAAAAACGGCATGTCCCAGGACAGAGGCGGCAGTGCCCGCTATCTTGTCGGGCACCTGTGTGAGGCCCAGGACGGGTAGCTGGGCTTGTGTCCTAGTGCAGGAACGGGTAGGGGAGGTCCTGCCTCTGAATCCAGCTGAGGAAGGGGCTGCTGGAGGACACCCAAGATAGAACAAGACAGAGAAGGTTCCAGAACATTACCATCTCTTCTTTCTCAGGAATCTCCGCAGAGTAAATCTGGTTCTAGGCCTGGCTGAGCCTCAAACAGATTTGCCTGGTAGAGAGAGCGCCTCAGCTCAGTAAATCCCTAAATTCTAAAACCTCCCCCAGGGCTGAGGTGTTCTTAGCGCTAGCAGAGGCCTCCCTGGCCCACCCCTCGGCGGGACGGACTCCAGACCACTCCCAGCTCCGTGAGAACAAGCTTCTCAGAGCCTGGAACCTCTACAGGGAAAGACAAGCAGAGGCCTGGCAGGTAACCTCTCCCAGGCCAGGGGCAGGGATGGTGGCCAGAGCTGTAAGTTGCCTCCAATCAACCCATGTCCTGTGTTCAATAAATAATAGCAATGATTATTATTATTATTACTACATAGAGACGAAGGTTAAGGGAAAAGTTTACCCTCACTTCCAAACAAGACTGAAGGCTGCGAGACACCCAGAAGTTGAGGGACGAGGAAGATATGGGATGTCAGATGGATCTTAATTGTCCTTCAGAACCACTGACCCCATACAGGTCAGAGTTGCTCCAAGTTCACTGAGCAGGGCATTTAAACAGATCTCTTCAATTAACCTTTGCAGCAGTTCTGTTAGATTGGCACAATTACGGCACCCGTTTTCCAGGTGGGGAAACTGCGGCTCAGAGAGGTGAGTTACTTGCCCGAGGGCCCAGGATGCAGACCCTGGTCAGTTGCAACCACAGCCTTGCCCCTAGCCAGCCTGCGTACCATCCATGTGAACAGGAAATCTGTCTCAACAAAGGGGCAGCCAGCACCACCAGAAACCGACAAGGAAGTGTTCCAGTTTAGAAATTTTCTGGAGATTCTAGCCATCGAAGCCTGAGTTCCCTCTGCCAGCAGCCGCTTCAGCTGGGAAACAGTCTGGCTTGGTCCCTGCACGCACAGAGCTCCAGGACACACAGAGCCGGCTCAGCATTGGGGATCTGCTTTTCCAGGGGACTCCCTGGGTTGCCTAGTGACCAACCAGTCACCATGCTGGCCTTACAGTTGGGGAGGAACAGAGTCCACACCCTGCCCTACTGGGGCCTCCACAATGCTGACCTTGGCTGCCACCACAGTCCCCAGGGCCTGCTAGGAGGTGGGTTTCCGGTGGTGGGGAGGGGGTGCATGCCAGGCTCTGAGCCATCTCCTCACAGGCAGGAGCAGGGACATGTCGTAGAAAGATTTAGAAATTTACACTGTTTCGGCCTGCCTGGCATCTGATCCCTCTCCTTTCAGTCCCAATTTCCATTAGGGAACCACCATCCTCCATTCTCAGAATATGCGGACTGGGCAGAACTGATCCCTAGCACCTTCTGGCTTGCAGTATAAGATCCAGACATCGCCAATGAGAACAAAGCTCCCTGGCACATGACTGGATCAGAGAGGGGCATATAACCGAAGCCAGACCAATGACATTCCATTATGGAACTTCTGTTTAAAACTACTGGAGAAAGAAAAGATCCTCTTCTATTGGGTGAAATGAAATGTGGGGGCTCTTGGGGGTATCTGTGCCACTGATACAAGACAGTTTATCTGAGGTCAAAGCCCAAAGTGTCCTCGAGCATCTGGAACCAGCCATACCTGAAGTCCACAAGTGTGAGCCAAACATTCCCTTCTATGCTGAGCACTGTGAACTAGGTTTCTGTCACCTGCATTTGAAACAGAGTTCTAACGCAAAGACCCTGAGCTGAGAGTCAGAAGGTTAACTTATTAACTACCCAGGTAACCCTGGGAAAACCTCTATCTCCCTGGAGCAATTATGGGACCTCAGGGTGTTGGCTTAGAGGATTCAGACTGGAGGGCTCTACAGAGGTCACAGGACAGGGGGTGGACTCCAGGACAGGTCCAAGAGCCCTCTAATATTATGCACAAAATCAGACATATGTGTGCAGCTTTCTGGGATGACCCTCATCAGATTCTCAAGAGTGGTCCCAAATACTTGCCATGATTCCTCCTTCAGGCTTTTTTAACGAATACACACACACAGAGGGCTTCAAATAGTGCCTGTCCCACAGATTCAACACGTAAGAGCTACTGTCATCACAGTTATCCTTGATGGTGGTATTCTGTAGTTTTTGCTATTTTCTTTCTTCCCAAAGCCCCCTAACATAACTCCTCTCCCTCTACCTTTTCTAATAGGAAATCTAGACGTTCCCAGCTCCATTTTATGAATCTTCCTGGGGCCAAGGCATCAAAGAGCTCACATGCTATCTACACGCATTCACTCTCCCTTCAGTGGCAACCAGGGGCCATGTGGGAGAGACAGCGGAACCGCAAGATGGGAGAAGCCTGGGTCCCCAAGCGGCCCCCAGTGATCCCTGGGCTCTCAGCCAACTTCACTCGAGTGAAAAGCATAGCACCCCCTCCATGAGCAGGTGGAGTTATTTGTTACTGCAGCACGGCTTGGCCCTGCCTGACAAACTCGTCCATTAGAGGACCAACCACACCAAGGAGTAAAGGAGACAACACCCAGTGCCCGAAGCACGCAGAAGTGCTCAAATGTGGGCAGATGCTATTAGGATTCCCTTCTCCTTGGCCTCCAAAGGTACTTAGGCCTCAGTGATTCTGAGCAGAGGCAGGACCCAGACCCCCAAGGACTCCTCAAGACCTGGGGCCATACAGCAGCCCTGGACAAGCTGCCAACCTGTGACGCGTGGCACATTCCGTGGCAATATCCTCCAGGTGGAACTCAGCCCAGGGGTCGGGCATGTGTTTGGCCTTCTCAATTGCATGCTTCCAAGCTTCCTGCAAAAGGCAAAGGGAAATGTTAGAGCAGGGGCTGTGGGGCAGGGCTGCCCCAGCCTCCTTCTCCCCTGTGACTCCCCAGCTCTGTTCCCAGAAGACTACGTAAGTGAGAGAGAAATAATACTCCCATCAGTGATCCTTTCAGGAACAGAGTTCCCAACACACCCTGTTTGTTCTCACATGGGCACAGCCTTCCCATGGGCAGAAGAGACATATCTGAACGATGAAACCAAAGAAACATAATGCACGTAGGGAAGCACATTTTTAAAAAAATATTTTATTTATTTATTTGACAGAGAGAGAGATCACAAGTAGGCAGAGAGGCAGGCAGAGAGAAGGGGGAAGCAGGCTCCCTGCTGAGCAGAGAGCCTGATGTGGGGCTCGATCCCAGGACCCTGAGATCATGACCTGAGGCCGAAGGCAGAGGCTTAAACCACTGAGCCACCCAGGCGCCCCGGGAAGCACATTTTAAAGATTTATTTTGTGGAGAGAGACAGAAAGAGCATGAGTGCATGTGCAAGTTGGGGGTTAGGACCGGGGGAGGGGGGGAGAGTCTCGAGCAGACTCCTGCCCCTCCGTGGGGAGCCCAAATCCGGGCTCCATCCCAGGACCCTGAGATCATGACCCAAGCTGAAATCAAGAGTTGGACGCTTAACTGACTGAGCCACCTGGGCACCCCCAGACTGGAAAACACTTGAATGACCTTTCAAAACCAGTGCTGGCCGGGATCTGGGGAAACGGGTGCCCTCGCATACAGTCAGTGGGTCAAAATTGCCTCCAAAGGCAACCTGGCAATGTACTGGGATCAAAAATGTGAATTCCTGTATTCTGACCCAGCAATTTTACATCTAGAAATGTGTCCTAGAGAAATACACGAGTCCGCAAACATACACATACAAAACTGAATTCAACCCAATGCCCATCTGTGGGGACTGATTAAATGCACTTTGATTATACCCACTGGAAATGCTAGAGCCCTTTCAAACAACTGTGCTTACTCTGGGTGGGAACTCTGGACCCTATCAGAGCCAACATCACCTTTTTGGAAATACTGTATAAATCACTTTCATAGCCCTAAATGAAAATTATAGACAACACCATCTTCCTGAACTCAGTATCTCCAGCCACGCCAAAGATATGTTGCCTTTACATTAACAGAGCCCTAAGTTCTGGGCTCAGATGATTAGGAACAGATTCCCATGAGACATTCCAAGGTCCTGGGGTCACAGGAATATTCCTTGTGCAGGACTGCCTTGCCCATTTCAGGCTTTTAGCATCCATGCCCTCCACCTTCTCAATGCCTTAGTGCCCTGCATCATTGTGGGAACCCAAAATAGCCCCCTAAATTTTTAAAACCTTTGAGAACCAGGGTTTCTGGGTATTCACTGGGAAAGACGAGCAAGGCACATTATGGAGGCAAGGCTGATTCTCAACAATATCACCTTCCAACCCCGTTTCTTGTTTTAAAAAGCTCATTTTATTGCTTTTATAATCCCCAAGGTAGAATCCTTCCCTGTCCCCTCCCTACACTCCAGCACCCACACTGGGTCACCATCTCTTCCTGCTCTTTCCCCTGCAGGATCAGTGAGGCCAAAACTCCTTTCCAGAGCCTGAGCCATGATGGGGAGGGGGCTGAACACTAGGGGTGGCAGACCCACAGCAGTTCCAGACCTCCTCACCTGCCATCGGGATCCCTCGGCCATCAGGACTAGCCCTGTGGGAGCTCAGCTTCCCACGGGCTCAGGCCCAGACAGGACAGCACCCCAAGCGTACGGCCGGCCTGAGCCTTGGCCTCACGGTTGGGTTCCTGCCCATGAGAAGAGAAGGCAGAGCAACCGAGCTTTCTGAGAAACACGTGCACACGCAAGTTTCCCACGGGCTAGGGCTTCCTCATGGGGGCTTGGGATTCCAATCTCCGCAAAGTCCAGAAACAAAGCCCAGAATTTCTTTCTTCCAATTTGAAAGCAAATTCATGCTTAACGAAAACACTCAGAAAAGAGAAAAGACAAAATTCAAACCCACCACGCGTCATCGACCCAGAGCAATGATTGCCCAATGCTTTGGGCTTGTTCTTTTCCAGATCCTTCTGGTACATCTTTCGTACAACTGGAATCACACTGTAAATACAGTTTACAGGGCACCTGGGTGGTTCAGTGGGTTAAAACCTCTGACTTCAGCTCGGGTCGGGATCCCAGGGTCCTGGGATTGAGCCCTGTATCGGGCTCTCTGCTTGGTGGGGAGCCTGCTTCCTCCTCTCTCTCTGCCTGCCTCTCTGCCTACTTGTGATCTCTCTCTGTCAAAAATAAATTAAAAAAAAAAAAATACACTTTACAGCCTTTCAGGAGAGTGGGCCCATGGGGATTGGTACTTTATATGGTGATCTTACTTTCCTGCTTCCAAATGTATGATCTGCTTACTGTAAAAAACCACACACACTACAGAATGCGAAGTAGAAAGTGAAAGTACTTTGTGACCCAGTGCTCTGAAAACCACAGCTGACGGCCAATTTAGATTCTAAGTTTGTTCCTCTGAATTTGTTAACACGCAGGAATATAGCATCGGGCCAGAGCCCTCGAATTCTGCTCTGCTCCTTACTTTTTTCCTCTTAACACAGGGCCTTGGATGTCCTTCCATGTCGTACATATAGGCAGGCTGGGTCGACCCCATTTTCCTTCTGCAGTTCTGAGACACACAATTATATAAATGTACCTCAGGTATTTCTCTAACCTCGGCTGATGGATACTGGGATTCTCTCCAATAATCCCCAGTGCAGGCAGCCCTGAAGTGAACACGGTCATATGTAAATCCTTACGCTAACTGTGCAAAATCTTGGTAGGACATATTTCTTGGAAGTGTAATTGCTGGGTCACATTGAAAATGTACAAACTGGGAGTTCTCCTCCAAAAAATTTCTCCTAAATGACACTCCAAGAGGCAGAGAACATATCACTTAAATATTTATTTTAGTTTTTTTAAAGATTTCTTTGAGAGCGAGCGAGAGAGCGAGCCAGCTCACATGCACAAGTTGGGGGAGGGGTAGAGGGTGAGAATCTTCAAGCAGACTCTCCGCTGAGCGCAGTTCTAACAGGGGGCTGGATCCCACGACCCAAGAGATCACGACCTGAACCAAAGCCAAGAGTCCGATGCTCAATCGGCTGAGCCACCCAGGCACCCCCATCCCTTACATTTTTTAAACACAAACATGACATCATGAATTTGCAAGTTAGCTGGAATAGCTAAGTCACTACTGACATCACCGTCCCCCTGTGGTTCTCCGCTGTTAGACTTTGAGCTTGTCACTGATTTTTCTCTGTTATAAATAACCGTGCCGCAGACATGTTTGGAACTAAAACAGTTCCTGAATCTCTGCACTTAAAAAAAAAAAAAAAAAAGTACCACTCTCTCTTTTCCTATTCTAGCTACTGTGAATGGCAGCCTGTCTGATCCCAGCCTGTCAAGGAAGTTGCAGTGTTCTGAGACTGAGGGTCCGTCCATCCGTCTGTCCGTCCATCTGTCCTGGTGCTCTATGCCCTGCCTGGGACACGTGGCTCTCCCACTGTACTCTCTCAACCAGTGACTCAAACGCTCCCCAACTCTCCCCATTCAATAAGGAAATTACCTCTTGGCTGGAGGCTGTGGTTCCAAATGAAAACAAAACAAAAAACAAAAAACAAGGAAAAAATACTTCAGAATTTGAGGGCGTGTTATTCCACAGTATCAAAATTACTTTTTGCCAAACCCAGGAAAGAATGTGGCATGCCTTGCTGGCAACGGGCGGGCGGGTTTAATGCCACCAGCGTTTCTTTTAAGGTACAACATAAAAAGTCCTGGACGAAGATTTGTTCCCTCGACTCTGGTCCCCACCCTCGGCTGACTAACTGTGCGATCCTCCATTTCCCTGTTTACAAAGGACATCGAGGAACATTTTGACTAATACTGGCCAAATGTTTTTCCTGCCCCCCCCCCACCTGGGCTAGACACATTTCTCCCCCAAAGAAATAGCAGCTCGCTGACATTTACAATGCTCTTTACAGTTAACAGCGCCAAAATAAGCTGTGGACCACCAGTGTACTATTTTACCCATTGGGTTAAGAAAAACAGGTGTTTGTGGAGGCTGAAGAAGTGCGTCCTCTCAGACCCCGAGAATGGGGGAAGCAGGTACTGTCACCTGACAGCCATCCGGTAGTGCTTTCACTGCCTCATGACCCAGCCACCCTGATCACCTACCCAGATGTGCACAGGTGAGCAGCCAAGAATGGGTCTGCGCTTATGATGCTAGAGAACGCTCGGGCATTGCCGAAAACCTGCCTGTGCCCAGGGAGAAGATGCTACACACTTGGTTTCGTAGAACGCAGCCATTAAAAAGATCAAGGTGTATCGCTTCTCGGCCTTTTGGCTAAGATCGAGGTGTGGGGTGCCTGGGTGGCTCGGCTGATTAAGCAAGCATCCAACTCCTGATTTCAGTTCCGGTCATGACCTCGGGATCACAGGATTAAGTCCGGCACTGGGCTCTGTGCTCCGTGTGGCGTCTACTCCGGATTATCTGCCTCTCCCTTTGGCCCTCCCCAACTCATGTGCATTCCCTTTCCTTCTCTCTCAAATAAATAAATAACATCTTTAAAAAAAAAAGAAAGATCAAGGTGAGGTGTGTTCAAGATACCGGGTGGCTAGGGTTGCCTGCGTGGCTCAGTGGGTTAAAGCTTCTGCCTTCAGCTCTGGTCATGATCTCAGGGTCCTGGGATCGAGGCCCGCATCAAGCTCTCTGCTCAGCGGGGAGCCTGCTCCCCCACAACTTCTCTCTGCCTACTTGTAATCTCTGTCAAATAAATAAATAAAATCTTTAAAAAGAAAAAAAAAAAAAAAAAAAAAAGACACCCGGGTGGCTCAGTCAGTTAAGCATCTGACTCTTGGTATCGGCTCAGGTCTCAATGTAAGGGCTGTGAGTTCAAGCCCCACACTGGGCTCCACGCTGGCTGTGGAGCCTACTTTAAAGAAAAAAAA